TTCCTTTTAATTTGTAAATGTTTTTTGGCTATCTTGCTTGCTTTGCCCTTTGTTTTTTTTGTTAAATATTTGCTTTGCCCTTTGTTTACGTGACAAACTCCTGAATCTTATTCTTCTTCAACGGTAAGCAATTTCCAACTCGCTTTTTCTTCGTGGAATATAGGATTATTTTTCTTATATAGGAAATGCACCAATTTATACTCAGCCATTTACCGTTTCAAAGGGATACTTATAAACTTAGATGTCGAGGCCGGTCTTGATTTTTAGAAGAACGCAACCTATAGAGAAAAATAAGTCGATTCACATATTTTCTTTTAAATAAGACCGGTTCACATATTCACTAAATATAAATCTGGTTTTATAAATAAAATCAGTTATGGTTTTTAGAAGGCTGCAAACTCATGTTTGATCCGCTTGGATTCAGGCCGACTTTGCTTCTAATTTTTAGATTAGATCAGTATAATTTGAATAATGGAACTTTGGGGCAATGTGATTTAGTGGATGATTGGTTCGGATGTAACTGTAGATAAGTTATTGTAGAATTTAGGCTGTAGATATTTTTGATGTAGCTGTATGTTCTTTTAGCTGTGAGAAAATCATACAGCTTTTAAAGGCACAAAATAAATGCTTTAGAAAAAAAACTAAAACATGAACAAACAAAAAAATCAAAGATGTAGAAGCTGTAGCTTTTATATGGGACTTACGAAATTTTTTTAAGTTTGATTGGTAAGCAAATAGTATAAAAAAGCTAAGAAGCTGTAGAAGCTTTTTAAAACTCTATCAATCACACCCTTAATTTTCAAACTCAATGGTGCAAACATCTTATTTTTCTTCTTTTTTATCTTACTATAAATTGTGAGTGTGCCTTAACAAAACAATGAGAGACAACAACAACAATGATTTACAATAAGAAACACATACCTTAGGGCATCTCCAACCCATCCCTATTTTTTCTCTAAAAATAGAGCAAAAAAAATAGTAATCCTCTATTTTCTTCCAGTCCACCTCTATTTTCAACTCTAAAATATCTAAAATAGAGGTTGCTATTTTTTGCTCTATATATAGAGGTAAAAGTGTAAAGATGCTATATTTGACTCTAAAATAGAAGAAAAATAGCATTTC